TCAATATGTTAATAAACTTATAATCGTACAAAAGTAACATTGGCTCACTTTTTAGTTTCCATTTTTATAACATTCTTTTTACAAAAAAGAGGAGAATAAATATTTGTAAGTTATATTAGGGTCATATACACTCAGTATGCGCAGAATGCCACTTTTCTTTTAATCTTTACAGTACTTATATAAATATTGAATGCTTAGTGCTTCATATTTTTTATTAATATTCAGAAATATTTCTTTTTTTGAATGTGACCATCAAATTTTAATTTTTCAAAGCTTAATAGAAGTATATAGGATTTGATTATCTTATGATAACTTTATCCATGTTCTCGTGAATTTGTCATGACCTGCTTCTATCGCTTTAATGATTTTTTTTTGTTTTTCATCCTGTTTATAATAATTGTGTAATAGAGAAAAGATCATAAATTATGAATTACATGCTCAGTTTATTTTAAAATACATTATTATTCTTTAAAGGAATTCTTTTAAAGGAATGACATTTTTTTGACCATGACCATATAAATCTCTAATATATGTATATGTATATATTATATAATATTTGGAAAATACCATTCTTCTCTAACTGATTTGAAATAAAACATTTAAACTGTAGTGAGATTCAGCCTTAGAATTTGTGCACAAAGAGTTTATAAAAGGAAATCACGTAGAAGAACTTTAGACATGCGAATGGGCAATCGATGCTAGTATGAATGAATCATGAATTTATTTAACGTCGACCTTAACCTTTCAGATTTCAATAAAACACTAAAGTCAATTTCTGTAAAACTGTTATTGCAATGTTATACCGAGATATTGAACTCTATTTACTGTTTTTTATATTTGATACATTTTCTACATACTTTCTACATAAATATATATATATATTTATTCATTTATCAATTAATTAAAATTATAATTTACGCTAATATTATTGTATTATTATAATTAAATAATGCCTGTATTCAATGAAAGCGAATCATAATATGTGCGAATTGATATATGTATCTGATTCTGCAAATTACGTGCCGTTTTTTTGATCTTGAAATATATTATCATGAGTAGAATCAGAATAGATAGTAATATCATTTATTAAATTGATAAGCAATTTTATTAAAAAAATATACATATTAATATCTAACAGAGAGAGATGTTAATAAAAATCTTAAATGCAAATAAGTTTATTGCGAAAAACTTTTTATGTAATGTATCCAATAAACGTTGAAAATTTATACAACGAAAAATTTATACAACTTGAGAAAAACTTCTTATAAAGATTTTTAGCAGTTATTAGAGGAAAGTCACCGATATCGACAAACTACTTTGTTTTTAGATAATATTTCTTAAACGAAAGATAAAAATAAAACTTTAAAAATATAAGTAACAAACTAAAAAGTGATAATATAAGTAGATAATATAAGCAGTTTTTATGATACTGTTTGCAATTTTACAATAATTAATTTTTTTGTAAGATGAGCAAAAAAAACTGACACAGTAGCCAGTAATATGTGCTACGCATTCCTATTCTTTTTCTTTTACAGGAATTATCAGTATAAAGTATTTACAAATGAATGTACGTAAAATTTTCCAGAATCTTTTCACTTTATTATAAAACATTTTTATTGAATTATATGCATATTTATTTTATGCTATTCTGCAAGATGCAAATATGTAACACAATAGTTTTTCAAGAGTTTATATATATATGTACAATTGCCTTCAGCTCCAAGAGCTATTTGACACTATAAAGCAACAGTATAAAGTTTAAATTAGCTCATGGTCTATTTACAGACAGATGTGATGATTTACGCTGCACCCCAATTTTAAACTTAAAATCGTATTATGAAAAAACTAGGAAAAAAAAATAATATAAATAAAACTGATTTAGGAAACTACAAGCATTTAAAACGACGTAATATTATCAATAATATAGTCATTATTATTTAAATTACTCAATTTGCGAAAGAAGATCGTAAAAATTTTATTTTCATATTAGTAGAATTCGTTTTTAGATTTGGATAGAAATAAACTACAAATATACATATAATTATGAGTTTGTACTTCTTTAATTAGTTAGATTATGATTTTATTAGTATTAATAAAGTGCAATTAATTTCTGAGAAATAAGGGAATGTCGCTTTAAAAGACCTATGTCAGTATCGACGACTTTCTTCTATTTATTTTCTACGCAAGATCTCGTGTGAAGAAAGCTTTAAGAGTGCATGCGTACAGGAAGCTAACAGCTATGATCGACCACATGGCGCTTTTATTGAATGCAGAGATCGATTTGTATCGTTTCGCGAATAAATAAACAAATAGATTGAAAGCAATGTTTTAACATATTTGTCCCAATAGTTATTGATTTGCTTGTATTTCTATAAGCGATCGATTAAAAAAAAAGTGCGGATTCTTATCATTAAGCGATTAGATATATATCTTAATGTTTGTGTTAGTCTGCGTCCTTAACCATTATTATATTAGCAAAAATTTAATTAAGAAAAAATACTATTATACTATCCGTAAGGATGATTTTTTCAGAAATGAGGAATGGACAAAATAGTATTGTATTCTTTTTATCATTGATACAATAATTTTAACTTAAGGTTTTTCTATTTAAATAATTTTCTTTTATTTTTTGCATTTTCTCATAGAAAAAGATTTTATGACCATATATTATGTATATATTATGTATAGTCAATACATATTATGTGTAATCATTACATATAGTATCTTCTAATAATGTATTAATGGATTAATTAATGATTTCTGATATATTCTTATAACTTATTTTTGATGCTCCTCTTCTGTTTTTTTTAGAAACAATAAATAATTCAGTCTATAAGTATCTCTTTTTACAATCCGAATATAGTTTCTAAGAAAATTGGAATTTACAGTGTATACTTATACGAAAATGATATTTAAATACTTTCAAACTTTCTCTCTCTCTCTCTCTCTCTCTCTCTCTCTCTCTCTCTCTCTCTCTGTCTCTCTTTCTGTTTGTCTCTGTGTGTATGGTTAAAAGAAATGTGATAAAATACATTTATATGACGACAAAAGGGAATAAAATCTACATCGAGATAGGAAGACAAGACAGATTGATTGTGAGGTTAACCTTGCAAAGTATCCCTGCATCGGTGTACATATGTGATGCCGAAAATAAGTTCGTGTAAAAGAGAAGAGACTGGGTAGACAAGGCCGTTGAAAAGTTTATGTAGCATTTTATATAAAGATGTTTCTAAATACTTGGTATACTGACATAATGGTAACATGTGTTCTTTTTTATAAGTCAATTATAATTTTTGATTGCGAATATATATTGTGATAAATGTTCTGTTTGATATAGGAAATGCAAATGTTAAATTCATTCTGACTACGATCTATGATAGTATATCTATATGTCGTGTTACTTAGATTGTTAGAGGATTTTGCCCCATTTAGCCTATTATTTCTGGAAACAACAGCTGTCTACGAGAAAAATAATAGAAGTTTACGCTTATCTTTTTACGCATTACGTTAAACTGTGCAAAGAAATATGTGTATACCTCAGTATTGTATGATGAGTACTATTAGGTATGTGTTTGACGGCATGAGCATTTGAGTGTGCGAACATGATCTTAGAGATTAAAATTATAATAAAATGGTAAAAATTATAATAAGCGTAAGTGCGTATATTTATTCTGTTGATATTATCTCTTCTGTAGTATTGCAGATAGTATCAACAGAATAAGTATGCGCAATTATCAACATATTTTAAATACTACATATCAATACTCATTAAAGTACTCATTGTTAGTAGTCTTCTAAATTTTTTAAAATTTCTTGTGCAGTAAGTTGGCGATCAACTGCATTTACATATTTTTAAATTAAAATTAAGAATAGGTAAATTGTTAAAGAATGTTATTTTTATATATAATTAATTCTAAATTTCTGTTTAATAGTTCTTCAATGGAATTTAATAATAAATAATACATTAATTTTTATCTAAACAAATTTTATAATTTTATAATAAATTTTATAATTATTGTAATTGCTTCAAATTATTTTATTTCGCAAGAAGTTAAGAAAAAAGTGGATACACATAATAGTTAAGTTTCTAATGTCAAATATCATAATAATAAATATAAGTTTACATGCAGAATTTATGTACATAAGTCACTGATATTTTCAAATGTCAAGCGGGTCTTCTCATAATACTATTTATTCAAGTATATATAAGATCGCAAGCAACAGAAAGGCAAAAAACACAAGACTAAAATTCTTGTTTCGATTGCTCAGCATGACAATTATTACCATATTATATTTAATTTCATTAACAATTCAGATTTATTGACAGTTCTCTCTCATTTATTTCAGTCGCTCCGTTTGATGTAATTATATTACATCTACTCGTATATATCCGATTGCATCAATCATAAAGTGTTAATTTTTGAAGTAGTTTATTTTTGAATATATACTATACTATTGTTTATATGTAAAAAGATTAATATATTAGTGACTCATTATTATAACAAAGAGCGATTTGAAAAAGTTTTATCTATAAATAAAGAAAATATTTAAATGATTACGCTAAAAGAAATTTCTTGTAGAAGAGATCTCTTTTATCACAATCATTTAAATATTTACTTATAATAATTTTTGACAATACGAAAAATGTTTCTAAAAAAATAATTGTTTTCAAAGATCGATAAGATCTTTGAATAGAACATGATAAAAATTATTTAAAAATAATAATTTATTAAATTACAATTATCAAAATTATTTTCTTTTTACCTTTTTAGATAAAAAGATATTTCTTTTTCTACATAAAGTGAGATTTCTCTCATTATAGCAAAATTATTAGATAAAAATTAATATTAAGATTTCTTCTTTGTAGTACACTCTAAAGTCGATAACATCAATTTATTTTTATAAGGTATTTAATTTTATGCTTCGACAACATCTTGTCAGCGAAGTAAACACTGTTTTGAATGACGATAAGAAAGGAATAGGAATCGTAGAACTCTTACCAGATCTTTTGCAGGCCGCGAAATATGGTCGCGCCGGTCGGAACGCGCCGATCAATAGGAAGCGGAAGGGCACATGTCCCAGTGGTTTCTTATGTTACGGCGTTAATAAAATCAACATTGGACATCTTCGATGAGTATTGTGCGACGACGTTGCGCGTTGTTAGCGAGATAAATGGCTGGTAGAAATTTTGGAGCAAGGTATCGTTAACGTATAAATTTGACACGACAAACTATGTTGTTGTACTCAAGATTTACGTGATCAAGCAATGCTGATATTAACGATCTGATGAGATTGTGACGACAATGACGCGACGGTGATGATGGCGACAATGTCAGCGACAGCGGCGACGGCGTCGAAACGGAAACGAGGCACGCGACGCAAAAGCCGAGAAAACTGACTTGCCATCGGATAGATCGTCGACCCGACGCAGTGGCTCTGGTTACGCGACGACGCACTGCGCCGACGTCAAAACGACGTCGACAACGACATCGTCATCATCGTCAAGGCGACGGCGCACGCCGGAGTCTTCTTTCGTGTGTTTGTACTTGCTAAATCGATTTCTCGAATCGAACAGACGTGACGAGATGTAAATATATCGAGATGCAGATTAGAATATATAGGGTATGTGAAAAGAATGCCTCGTTTTATAATGTTAGTATATCAATCTTATATAGTAATATAATAATTGTAATAAAGTAATAAAATAAAATATAATAAATAATATAATTGTCTATGTGTAAAACTCTTACTTTTAAAATGTATATACTTTGTATATATTTTAGTAAATTTTTATATATTTTATATTATATGAAATTTAATTAAACATATTGTTAACATATTTTCTTTAAAAAAACAGGACATTATTTGAAGACTCGATATAGAAATTGTATACGTTAGTGTGTACTATTCATTATCGCAAAACAAATTTTATACATATATATTTAATCTTCAATTTTGAATTATACAGTATGATTTCATAACCTAGCTATTTATTATGAAAATTAAAAATAGTAAAAATTTTTAAACAGGACTCTTAATATTAGAAACAATGTAATAAAGTAAAAGACTAATAAGAGTCAAGCAACAATAAATTCTCACAATTAGATCAACGCAAATTCATTATAAAAACTTAGACGATCAGAATACAATGCATTGCTCTTATTAGCCTTTTACTTTATTACATTATGAAAATTGTAAGAAACAATAAAAAATTAACAACATAACGACAAATAACAATAATATTAATTTAAATAAATTTTTTTTTTATATTCATAGTATAAATAATCTTCAACCAATAGTTGAGAAATTGTATAAAATTATATAGATTATCACACTAATACTGTCTTTATGTTAAGACTTTTACAATTAATCTCCAATGTGTCATTAAAGTATCTATATACGTTATAATATAATAGCGAAAAATGAGACACTACCTGTGTCTTTAGATAAATACTTTATCGTTGTAATAGATATATTTTTTTATATATACTTAAGAATATTTCCTTTTTTTTTGTTGACATTCTGCTAATTCTCTTTACGATAAATTTGGAATATATTATAAAAGTTATATTTCATCGAATCCGTGCGGATATCATCAGTATGCAATAACTGGCATCATTTTGGATCTAAGACGGAGCACATTAACCTAAGCTTACATTACTTAGAGCAAATTATATAATGTCTCTAAGTTAGGAGGGCGCGGGTCACACTCCTTACATAAATGCTGCAAATTTTTTTTTATCAGATATTTCTAAATATACTGTATTATGTGATCATGTTAATCTATGACATTATTTCAACAATCGTAATTAAATTTATAGACTATAAGAACGTTGCTTATAAAAACTTTTTTATTACTAATGAAATAATTTGTATCTTATTAATTTTTGCTAAATATACAAGATGCATCACCAAAATCCGGAAATTTCAATTTAAATTTTCCGCTATATTGTGCCTCCGCAGAGGTTGTTGTTAACGTCCGAGAAAGTCTGATGCTTCTAGTAAACAGTCATATTCTCAAAATGGCCGCGATGTTGAAACCAAGTGCGGAGTATAATCGAAGAGCCGCGATCATCGAAGGCCTTCGCGTTGGGCGCTCAGCAATGGAAATTAATTCGGTTCTTTGGATACCCGAAATCAACTGTTTATGACGTTGTGACAAAATATACGGCTTTAGAAGTCCAACAAAGGTTCCAGTGCCAACGAGGAAGAGTTACTCGAAAGAACGCACCGCGAGGATCGCAGTCGTTGAAAGGTCTCAAGCGCTGATTTCAGATGACTGAGGGCAATCGTTGCGAAAATTAGATTGAATATTGATTGTTGGTGTAAGCGAGCAATAATACGTCGAATTGCTGAGGAGGACCTTTGATACAAATCGTACACATTAAAGATATGACAGATGCTCTCCAAGGCTGTCAGGACAAGCCGAGTTGCTCGCCTCGGCTCTCATTCTGGCCTCCCAACAGCGCAGATTTAAATCTCTTGGACTACTACGTATGAAGCGTAGTTAAAAGGGTCACAAACAGTCTCGGCATCTCAATGTGACGTCATTGAGGACCGCTATTGAGGCAGCATTCGTCGGCATAGACAGCGCTACATACAGCGTGCGTGCGAACGCATTTCAACGCAAATTCAGGCTGAGAATAGAGGCCGTCATTCAAGCTAGTGGAGGATATATCGAATAATTATGCTCTACAGGAATTCCCTAAGCTAAAAGCCATGTAAAAAGATTTTTTGTAATATTTAATTTTTCATTAAAAATATTTTGTTTAAAGAAATTGTTCGATTTGACCGGATTTTGGTGATGCATCCTATAAATCATATAAATTATAACATATAATGAGAATAACTCTATACAGCACAGATTTCCGAGGGATGTTCTAAAGATATCCAGATGATGTCTCTGTATATGTCTTTTAAATTCTGGATATCTCTCGAATAAAATATGCTGTGGGATGTTACTATAATATATAATGTATTTTTATAATTTTTCATTGTATAATAAATAATCATGTTTAATTATAATATATGTATACATATCTATTATTTGAATTTGTTGTTATTACTTGATTCATATCAGCATTAAAAAAGATTCTGTATTATCTTTGCTAAAGCAACAGAACATCAACGAAACGTATGAGATATAAATAAAAACGTAAACATTTGATATGTTACAAATAACATGCACATGTAGAATACTTATTATTTCAGCTATGAAAATGAATCTTACATGTTATTTGAATTTGCAAAGTAGAATGTATATGTAATGCACATATTAATTAAAGCTTATTAGCAAACATAAATATTTAACAAATTGCAATATAAATTGTTTAGATAGCAAGTAATATTTCATAAAAATTTCAGTAATATTGTAATGTATTCGAAATATTATGTATTATAGTAAAATATTATAGAAATATCATAGTAACATTGTCGCAATATAACATCCTAAATAGCCAGGTAACTCGATGATTGACATCTATTGACATTAGAGACATCAAATTAAGACATAATTAAAATATCATAAAATGATACATATACAAATAGAAGTACGTACACCCAAGGATTTCAATTCTTTCCCTCGGAAATTTTCACAAACTGAAAAATGACCAGTTTTCTACATTAATTCATAGTCTGTGCGCGTTTACCGACTGAACCTTATGTCCGCTTACAACTAAATTTGACGTAAAGACGAAATAACCTAAATTTTTGAAAATTTTAAAAAAGTAACCGAGGGAGAGAATCAAAGTCCTTGGATGTACATTAATTAAAACATTAATTAAAATATCATAAAGTGAAACACACGCATCCCAGCAAACACAGATATATCTCAAACACGTAACTCATACATAATTTTAATGTTTTGATTCAACAAATATACAAATAACAATTATATCAAAAGTTACGTGAATTTGCGGAGAAATTCAAATTTGTTCTCAAATTTGTCATCCTATTTTACTTATAGTAGTTACATAACAGATATGATTTAAATACGATACGGCTATATGATTGATACATAACAATTACGTATTAAGATGAAATGCATATATAACATTTATGCAATGCAAAATTTGTCACTGTGACATCATAAATTGGTGAAATTGTTATTTATTTCTTACTTATTGACATTGACTCAATTTCTTTGATTTGAAGAAGTTTTCGGTTATTTGTTGCTATTAGAATTTCAAAAAATAGTTTATATAGTTTTGCAATTTTTTTTAAATGAAAAAATATATTTTTAATACGTAACAAAAAATTTTCTTAAATGAAAACTATTTTTTATGTAATAAAAAGATTATGATTATATCTTAACAAAAAAGTAATTTTTTCTTATTAGTTACTTTTATTTTTCTAATTCAATTTATTACTTATTGTTTCGCATACCTATATTCTTGTCTTATTAACTATAATTAATTATTGAAAAACGCATCGCATCGCCGCCAAGATTTGAATCCATGATCTCTAGAAGTAGTCTAATAATATTTACGTTGTAAACAAATAATTAATAAGTAATTTGCCAAACGTTAGCGCAACTGTTAAAGATATAACATTAACTTTCGCAAATATAAAAGTAAATTAGTGTTACATGAAAAATATATTTTGCAACTATATTCAACGGTTACACTAACATTTGGCAAATTATTTATTATTTGTTTATATTATATGTTTATATTATATGTCATATTTGCAATTAAATTCATAAAAACAATTTTGTACTGATAATTCCGTACATTTGATTGTGTAATTAGAAATTTTTTACAACATATTAAATAAAGAGATATAGCTAATGTGATTTAAATTTATTAATCAGACATGCGTTCCATACTAAAACGTAATGTTTTAATAAACCGAAAAAATAAAAACAAAGAAAAAATTTTTTCAACTAAAAATTTCAGTTACAATTCGAGATTTTTTTTAACAACAAATTAAATTTTTCCTTGATAAATTGGTGCCAGACGAAACTCTTAATCTTAAAAACTAGAGCCACAGTGATTTTTTGAAAAAAATTGTTATCTTGTCTCCTAATAATTGTAGGGTAATTTTTTTTTAATTTGTAGAAAAATGTCAGATTTCGTATGCTTCGCATGGCTATTTGATATGATGAACGAAATTATTTTCATTTTTTTATGCAGAAAACAATACCCATTTTTAAAAGTCATTTTATAATAGTTTAACTGCAAAAAATCGTTTTGTTATTATGTGTACGTGGTAGTGCAACTCTTGAAGAAGAAAAATCATCCCTGTAAATTGCTGTGAAATTGTAAAAAGATGAAGAAATTAAGTTTTTCGCAAACAGGTTTTTAGTGGCAAATGGCTTTTTGCAAAAACTAATGAACATTTCAAACTTGTTCAGGGCTAGATTTGTTCGTCATCACGAGGACTACATTTTATGAGAATTTCAAAGTTTTGCGTTTAAATCTCAATGAAGAGAACGAATGAAAAAAAGGTCTTTTTCGGTGTTTTTTATTTTTATTTTTTACTGAACTAATAGATCAATTTTAATGTTCCACGTCTCATTTTGTATTTCGAAAACCTACATTTTTTATATCGAATTTTTTTTCATACAATCAATATTTTTCGTTTCATAAGCGAAAAACGTGCTTTTTGCAACTATTTTTTTTTGCATATTTTCTTCACAAGTCTTGAGTCTCAAACATACACATTTCTTTTCTAATGGCTTTTCGAGACTTTCGTGAAGAGAAATGCTGGTTTATAATTTTTTTTCGATAAAATTCTACTTCTACTGAACTATTCTTGCTACTCGAGTTTATAAAGGAGAGGTACTGTATAACGCGCATAAAAAATCGTAAACAATTAAATATCTCGCAAACTGTTGCGTTTTAACATGATTTATATTATTCTGGATTAAAAAGAGGGACTATTATTATAATTTATTAAAACTTACATATTAGAATGCCTCTCTCCCCTTATTGATGCCTAGCGGCCAAGATTGCCGAGAAAGCATTTTCGGTCGCTTGAAACAAGTTATTAATGTGAGAAGGAACTCGCTGTCTCATTCATTCTCGGTGCGCCACAGGCGAGCACACGGGCTCGTGCTTAAGTGTGTGGCTACCGGTTTCGCCAGACCGCCGTCTGATTCTGTATCGCCACCGTCAACGCAGAGTTCTTGGCTGAGTAGTCAGGAGCCTTAATCCGAACCATATGGCTGCTATTTCTTTTTCTATTTGCACATATCTCTGTTGAATTTTTGTTAATGCCTTGGAGGCATACGCACATGGTAAATTGTTTGTAATAAAACTCCCACGCCTGCTATAGAACTATGTACTGAAATTACTGTGTCCTTGTTAATATCAAAGAATTACAACACGGGATTAGTTATTAATTTATTTTTCAAAGACTTTAATGCCTTTTGTTTTGGGCCCCGCATAAAAATTACATCTTCCTTTAAAAGGTTTCTCAGTGCTGTAATTTCATACGAAAATTTTGGTATGAATTTGCTCACATATGTTAGCATTACGCTCGTTGTACGCCATCCTTGTCCTTTGGAGTTTGCAATTTCTTGATACCTACAATTTTATTTTCGTCTGGTAAAACTACCATTTTCATTTATGACATGCCCCATATACTTAATACTATTTTTGCCTAATGCATTTACTTAAATTGAATTTGACTTTATTTTCCTTTGCCGTTTCCAGCACTCCCCTTAACCTCTCGTCATGTTTCGTTCTATTCTTTCCATAGATGATTATGTCATCTATGTGTATCTCGCATCCTTTACACTTTTCAAAAGTTTGCCTAAATCTTTCTTAAAAGCCTCCAGCGTCGACTTTATACTGTATAGTAATCTGAAAAATTTGTAACGTTCGAACGGTGTTCTAAAAGTGCACAAATCTGAACTTACTTTGTTTAGTGGTATAGAGTCGCATGTGTTAAAGACCTTAGCTCCTGCCAATTTGACAGTGATTTTTTCAAGCGTTGGTATTAAACAGTGTTTACGCTTGATGTTATTATTTAAATCTTTCAAATCCAAACAAATTCTTAGACTGTCGTTTGGTTTACGAGTTATAACTAGAGCATTTACCAATTTGTTGCTTTATTCACCTTCTCAATTATCTTTTCTTATAGTTTTTTAAAATATTCTTTCAGTCTTGGTAACAGCGAAAGAGCTATTCTACGTGTCAGATGTATTATTGGCTGCGTATTTTTTTTTAATTTAATGTGATAAGATCCTGGTAGACATCCTTTAATCCCTGAAAATATCTTCTTATATTCCTTTACTACATTATCATATTATTGTTACTTATGCTATCAATTTTTTTTTATAATATTTAATTTTAGACAAGACGACAAGCCCAGTATTGCTAGCGTGTCAGTTTCTATAACATAAAAATCTTCTTTGCTAACTTTATCGCTTTTCATGATACTTATCGTATATGTATATGCCTATGATCTGTAGCTTGTCCCCCGTGTATGACTTAAGCATTACTAGTCGGTCTAATTTTAATATTACTTAACTTTAATGACTTCAAGTGTCCAATGCACAGCCATTACACATTGCACCCGTGTCAACCTTAAATTTCGTTTACACATTATTGATTTCTAACTCTGTTAACCATACATTTTCTGTTATGTTTCCATTCTCTAAACTATAATATCGCTGTTATAAACAAATATTCTTTTTTATCATGGGTTGTAAGAGTGTTTATCTTCTCTTCTTGTTCTATTTCTTTTTATTATTATTTTTACATACTACGGCAAAATGATTTTTCTTACTACTATCTGCCACACTATTTATCAAACGTTGGACAGTTATTTAATTTGTGATCTTCACCATACTTTGTGCAATTACCTTCTCCTTAGCTTTATAAACACTTACCCCTCTACCTGTTTCTGCCCTAACCTTTTTTTGAATTTTATCGCATTTACTGTCGTCGCCATATCATTCCTTCCATTTCCTTCCTTTGAATTTTCGTCTTCTCCATGATCTTGCGTTGTTGTATGGCTATTAGTAGGAAGCTCCATCATCAACGAGTCATTCTGTAACAGTTTCTCTCTCATGTCTACATTCTGAACTCCGCAGATGATCATACATTTGATTAAGCTGTTTTGAAGATCTCCCAATTTGCACTTCTGTTCTGTCAGTTCGACCACGAATTGTTCCAAGGATTGTTCCGCCTTCTGTCTCATTGTGAAGAAAATATATCTTTCATATGAAAGATTTTCTTTTGGTAGAAAGTATGCCTCAAATTTCTTCAATAATAGGCAGCTTATCCTTTTCTTCCTCTGCCAGGGAGAAGGTTTTCTATATTTTGAACCCTTCTTTCCTATTCGCGTGCTTTCTAAAGTTGATTAGCTTGCCTTATTCTTTTGAAATTTAGTCCGCCTCGATGCCTTTACCTCTTGCTGGGTCTAACGCCTCTTTCTGGTCCTACCAACTGCGCCATGTCAAGGACGGAAGGATGAGAGAATGATGATACGTTAGAAATATTGTAAATATATCTATATTTACAGGATGGATCTTGTAGCCTTTAGCCATCGGCCATATATCCATACAATCCCTAGATGATGCGTCGCATGCACCATATGCTGATGATTTTCATGAGTCCTTACGGCTAGCTTACAACTACCTAACAGTCGGAACATTTTCATTCGTATTCATACCCCTTCCTTCCCTATTTCAAGGAGAGAGGAAGCCATGACTTCAAGGCTTCCTTGTTTCATAAAATGATCTCAAGTTCGCCTTCCCAAAGGAAGGAATATTTTAGATCTACTGAAGACAAGCATGTCATAATATATAACATATGCAAACCTAATATTGTGAATTACGAATAATAAAGATTGTAAAGGTATTGTTGATTAAATAAAATCGTGATTAAGCATTTTGCAACAATAATAGACAAAAATAAAACTAATAGCGAATTCGATTGGATGCACTAAGTGCGCACTGAAACACATTAAAATCGCCATGCATACACAAAATAACGTAAACGTATGTTTTATAAATAAACATAAAAATCGATTAAATCGCGAAATACTCAATACATTTTATTGCACTATTAAGTAAAATATGTATTTCATAATTCGAGAGATATTTGCATTTTATTTTTATACTAAAATTAAAATGTACAATGGTTTTAATATGCATCAATGCTTTCAGTCGAATTTGCCATAATGCTTATTATACGACGGAGAAAATGCTTTTGGCAGTTTATTTCCGAAAAAAAAACTATCGAAAATAATTATTGATGCGACAGATCTAAATTAAAAGCTCGAAAGTAAAAAGATCGATGTGACAAAATAAATTTAGAGGTTTGCTTGGTTATGAAAACTGCACCTCCTCCTTAGGGAAACTCGTAACCTCTCTTGAGAAAAGGAAGTTAATAAGGCTTCTTATTTTGTTAAGGAAAGTTTATGAAACGTGAAATGAGGAACAAAAAATTCTCATTCTTCAAGGAAGGACTATGAATATTTGTGTAAAACACAGTGTTATACCTGTCACTTGTGTACGTTGTTGGAAAAACATCTAATATGATGTGTGCATAACATTTTATGTCCACGTTAGTTGTAATTTCCCACGAATCATTGCAATGATTGTGCAAGTAGGAAATTACAACTAACGTGGACAGCTACATGAAATAAATATAACATGTAACTTAATATGTTATATATTATAATAGTTATATAAAAGTTTGATAATTTGCTACGTTATTGTTATAAAACTAGAATATGACTGTTATGTTGCTACTTGTATACATTAATCTAAATTAATTTAAAGTTTTTTGCACATATAATTCCCAGAAAAGATCTTGGAATTAATTCTAAAGCGAAGACAAACGGAACAATTTGCTTTCGTTTAAAATTAATTCAAACACCTTCTATAGGATTAGTAAGTACAAAATATATTCTTTAAAAATTGTTTTTGCGTGAATATAAAAGACATGTAATAATTGATTTAAATTTATTTATTTTATAAACTTCATAGTTTGCACATAAATACATGTCTATTTATAAATATCATTACTGATTGTGAGTATTCGAAGTATTTAATCGTAATATTCATAAATTATACTTTTATGGTAATCGTTGAGTTTAGCCTCCTCATTTCCGATGTTGATAAAATTAAGTTCATTCGACGCGTTTTTGAATAAAATTTGAATGAATCTAACAGAAAAACGTATCGCTCAGAGTATCGATCATGAAACTTTTTCTCTAGAGCGGAAACGTAAAAAATGAAAAATTTCACTTGAATTTATTTTGGCAAAGCCAGTTTTAAAGAACCACTCGGCCGCGACGGATGCGTTTCAGTTCGGGTGCTGTAATGGTATAACTCTCTTAAGATGTGATCTGGGCCGTATCGACCTCCTATGTTACAATTTTGGGAAGCGAGAATTATTAATTTAGAAAGAAGAATTTTGGTAAAGCTATGGAATATGTCGATCTCTCTCTCTCTCTCTCTCTCTCTCTCTCTCACTTCAAATTTTAATAAAAATACACTCATTCGATGCATTTTTTAATGAAATGAACGAATCTGATAGAAAAGTGTTGCTCTGCCCCCACAAACCAAGATATTAAGTGTTAAAGTTCACGATTGAGATTAGAAAATCCGTTATGTGGACAGTGAGGTGTAATAGTAGTGTTTGGTTCCAAATCAATAGTCGTCATAATAGTCATGAATTTTAACGTTTAATATCTCAATTCGCGAAACAGAGCAACGTTTTTTTCTACCAGATTTCATTTAAAAATGCACCGAATGAGTGTATTTTTATCAAAATTTGAGGTGACCAGAGTATTCTCCCTAATAGCACAAGACGTCCTCAGGATCATCCTGAATATGTCCCAGGACATCCTGGACATTTTAAGGACATTCATACATCCACTGGATGTCCTGAGGTCATTATTTTCGGGATATCCTCAGAACATCCTTGGGATAGCTTCAGGACGTCCTTATGGACAGCCTCAGAAGGTTTGAACATTCTTCAGATAAAATGTGCTGTATAGGAATTATTGTAGTGTATTCCGCTTATGGATTAGAAATAATTTGTACATACATATATTTGATTTATTTCTAAAAGTAACGATTTTATAAATATTCGTACAATGCTTTAATTACGGTTAATGTTATTGTCCATTAATAATTGCGTTTTAATTCCTTATATTTAATTTGTATTGTATATTATTGTTTCTAATGGGACAAATTCCATATATTGTACAATATAGTTCAATATTCTTTTTTTCCATCTAACTGTTTCGCATATCATATACTTAATATAGCATTCTGAAGTCATTTTTGACTTCTATACATAAATTGTTGAAAGTTTAAAATGCAATACCCAATTTTCACACATATTTTTACACATATGTTGAAAATCTATTGTTGCTGTAAACAGTTAAACATGTGTTACAAAATGATATATATATATATAAATATATATATATACACACACACACACACACACACACACACATATATATATATACAGGGTGTCTCTTAAGATGGGTCAGGGCCACATTGGGGGCGGAAAATGGATTAAAGGGAATAAAAAATTCTTATACTATTTAGAGATACTGGCTGTAGTTTTCGAATTAGAAAAGGAAACATTTAAGCCAATATGCGATCAAGCCGCGCCGCGCGAATTCGTAGGACGGCCCACACTCGAGCAGTGATGCGAATTCCGGGCCGCTTGCAGCACGCGATCAGCGCCACCGTTCGGCGGCCTGGCGCAACCCGCAGCCACACCAGC